ATTGAGGAATAGGTTGCTAGATGAAACGAGAAGATTTAAAGTGGCCCCTTTTCCTTGGTTTTCTTTAATGGAATAGCACTTTAGACCTAGCTAATCCCCTATCTTTACCTTTTCCCTAATGCAAAGGCAAGGTGTGATCTAGGAAATGGATAAGGACCCTTCAAGAGGGTATATATTAATAGACTTTAACATTTGTTCTCCCCCTTGTTATCTGTAATTTACAAGTGACATGCTGATTACTTGTTTTAGAAATTTTCTAGGTTTTAAGATCTCCCTATCTTTTATCTTTTCCCTAAAGCAAAGGCAAGATGTGATCTAGGAAATGGATAAGGATCCTTCAAGAGGGCATATATTAAAGGCAAGCTTTCTAATGTTTACTAGTTATATACTTCCTCCCTTTATCTAGCCGTCAGGTCCAAAATGAACGACTGAGACGGATCCAATTATAATGTTACGCATTTGTAATATTTTATTTTTATTTTTTTCTATCAAATATTTTGACACCAAATTTTGGGTGTCCACTACTCTCTTACACTTGCACTTGCAAAAAATAAAAAAAATACTACTGATAAAATAAAATGACCAAAATAGCCCTGAAAATTTCATGGGTATTTTAGTCATTTTATTTTATTGGAAATATTTTGTTTTAATTTTTTTTTAGGTGTGCCCCATTGAGATAATGCCACGAATTTATATCCATATAATTGGTAGAATAAAAACTAAAAACAAAAAACAAAAAATTTAAGACGTCAGATCTAGATCAAATAGTCAATTGCTTATTTGATCTAAATTAAACGGATGGATGAGGACAAGTACAAAACTTCTACACAATAAGGTAAGTATAGAAACATTTCCCATATATTAATAGACCTCAACGTTTGTTCTCCCCCTTCTTATCTCTAATTTACAGGTGATATGCTGATAATATATTTTAAAAAATTTCTAGGCTTTAAGATCTCCCTGTATCTAAAAAGGAATAATTTTTACATTTTAAAATAACAAATGTGCTACTGTGTGGATAATGTAGAAACCACCAATCCAATAGTTGGCAAGGTGACTCCAGCATATTATTCTTGACACCTGATCAATCTATAAAAAATTTATTCAAGAAAGTATTATGTTCTATCATTTTGATTTTCATCTGTTTCTCAGCATGACCTCAACCAATAGATTTCAAGAATGATAATTGAAAGGTGCTATTCCTCCTCTCATGATCATCAAAGTTTAGTCAAAGAGCGAAAGAGTGAACAATAAGTTGTTCACAACGACCAACACAAGAAAACAAGGAAAATTTATCACGATACACTTGAGAGATTAACTATTTAACATTTTACTTATAGTTTCATAAATTCGCCTTCAAATTCAAGGTCAAGATGGAATGGTTTTAAATGGGAAAAATGCTAAATAATTTACACTTCAGTTGTATTTTGATGAATTCCCCATAAAACAATAAAAAAAGCCTAATGATGTATTTTGATAAATTCCCCCATAAAACAATAATGAAAGCCAAGCAAGGTAGCATGTAAATCAATGTGTGTCTAGACCCAAATGTCCAAACTTTATAAGAAATTTATTGCACCCAGAACTAAAACATCATTGGTCGATAAGCCAGAATTGAAAAATCAATGGTCTATATAGCTCCGTGGAATATCCATGTTTATAAGCATCAAGATCCCTTTTTTTCTATTTTTTTGGGAAAAAATTACATTATAGTAGTGATTCAATGACGAGCATTTTCATTTATGTTCTCCAAAAAGGACCCGCAATGAGTTAAACACCTATGTTCCAAAGCGCGTTAAATATTGTTAGTTGTTGAACTGTGATGGTCGATTTTATACAAGGAAAAAGTTCATATCAAGCCTATGTCTTATTCAAATATATTAGTGTGTTCATTCAAAAATTAGTTTGAAAAAATTCTCAAATCACTCATTTCAACCTCGACAATCATGGGTATAAAAAAAAGTAAAGGATTTCATACCCCAAAAATAACAATATATTTTGTAACATATTATAATAATACATTTTGTAATATATTATCTGGACTATCGATTTTCAAGTATTTATAGATTCGTCAGAACTGCATTATTTTTAGAGACTTCAATTTCGTAATTAGGTGGAGAACGAGATTTTCTGGTGGTGTTTGCAAGCGGGGGCTTTCTTTTTTTTTTAATAGAAATGCTGCCCTATATGAACGACACCTTTATTTGAGCGTGTTGTTTATATAAGGTGCCCATCTTGAACAATCAAAGTAAGTTGCGCGATACAATTTTAGTTGGCTTGAAAATATGTTATACCCCTACTTATAAATTTTAAAACTTCAAAATGGTACCAATCGAGCAAATCTATAAATATTTGTAAGCTTTAAAAATAGTTGGTCCAGATAATATATTACAAGATATTTTATTTTTAAGACTTAATATCCTTTTTTATCATAAAAAACATAGAACAAGATCATTTATCTTCGATCTAAGGTCATGATTATTATCAGATGCCATTAGATTTAAATTCAGATGGTTGGAAATGTTCCATTTACCACACTCAAAGTTCAAAAGAAATTTTTCGAACGTTGTAACACATCTTAAGCTCTAGGACTAACATATGACAATTTCGAGAGATTGTGATCTTCTTACACCAAAGGAAAATGGTCTTATAGTATACGACTTCTTCTTTTTTCCATATCTTAAAGTCGAGATAATCAATTGGAACATGTTTCAACATCACAAAACCTTACTGATGGATTTTGAGATGTGTCTCATATCTATAGTATAAGGTTGTAACCTCATATCATTTCTTTCTTTTAAATTAAAGGAAAAAGTAACCCACCTTGTATCAATTTATCTGGGCCTCCATTGTCGAAATTTTTAAGTGTTTACAGATCTGCTCAATCTATACCGTTTATTTGAAATTCTAGATTTCATAATCAAGGTTGAAGGTAATTTTTCAAGCTATTATAAGGTTTCTAACACCGTAACTCCATTTTTTGACAAAATTTAAGCATACGCCGTACTTGTATGGTACAATAGTATAAGGTTAATCACCCCATAACCTTACGGCTGGCAATGGGCCAGCCGGCCTGGGTTGGGCAGTCCCCAACCCATTTCTAGTCGTCTTCGTCTTCCAATGAGGGCTGGCCAAGCTCAGGCCGGGCTAAAGGGGCTCTAGCCCTATCAAGGTTGGGCCGTGTTGGATTAAATAAAATTAAGGAAAAATAAAACAAAAAAGGATGATGAAATAAGGGCCAAGCTAAATTGGGCCGGCCTTGTCTTGACCCTAACCCGGCCCAGCTCTCAGGCCGTGGTGCTGGGGCCTGGCCACATTTCGTAGCCTAGGCCCTAGGTTTTTTAATGTCAAGCCAACCCGGCCTATTGCCACCTAGCTTGATAACCTCAAAAAATATTAAAAAACTGAAGGAGATTGCGTGAGATTATAAATAGGAAAAGTATATAACGAGACCATTTAGCTCAAAGTTCAAAAAAAAAATTTTACAGTTTATGACATACTCAAGCTATCAAATTTCATATTTTGTAAATAATTGTGACCTGTAAATAATTGTGACCTTCATGTATCATGCATAAATGGTTAGCCCATCATATAACTGCATAAATGGTTAGTCCATCATATAACTATAAATGTTATGCCTCTCGAGATAAAAAATTCAACCAAATTCTATTTACCAGAGGCTTGCCAACATAATATATATACAATTCATGTCACGTGCACATAAAAAGGAGAGGAGAGAGAGAGACTTTCGTTTCAATTGCAAGAGAGACACTTGTTTTCATGAGAGAGAGAGAGGAACTTTCTTTTGATGTGCCTCTAAGACGGACGAGAGACTTTCTTTTCATTTCATGTGCCTTTTGCAAGCATTTCTTGGCATCTCTTGAAGGAATTCTGCTTCTCTATCATTATTCTCTTCCAAAACCAGGCAATGTAAGCCTCGGCCCGTTCATCAACCTTCTCCATGAAATCATCACCACCCATTTCGCTACATCTATGAGTATAAAAAATGCAGCTATCTTCATCAGAGTTTCTCTCTCTAACTGTATCACTGGGGCAGCTTTCTTGGTTGCACAATAATAGGGTTGAGAAACCATCACCTTGGGATCTAAAGTGAGCCTCCAACCCAACATTTTTCTTCTTTTGTTTCTTCAGAAGTTGGCAAAGAAAGCTCTTGACTTTGCATATGCCCACCTTCAGCTCGGGTGCAACTTTCATCTGATGAAGAGCACCATTCAACACTTGCTTTACTGAATTCATAATGAAAAGCTCAATGTGAGAGAGAGAGACCAATAGACAAGATGAAGGCAGTGGTTTGATCCCCTGGAGGAAGCAGGAAAGAGGGGCATATAAAGAGGTTTACAAATGGGAGACAAAAAGGTCTTGTAGTGGATTAGCTTGAATTCCATAGAATATAAGAAAGGCACCCACAGGCTGGTCTGATAAAAAGCTAAGCCTCTCCCTTTAGCTCTTCCCTTTTAAGTTCTTTATATTTTCTTCTCTCACTATCTAGCAATACTTGGCTTTGTGGGAGTAAAAGATGAGAGAAAGCAATAGCTATGGCTTGTTTAATACTGGGGTAGGTGAAATTATGATTGCAAAAATGAATGAAGCTCTTAAGAGCTTAGGAATTGTTTATAGAAAGGGCACTTGCTCTGATTCCTTGAGAGATTTTCCTTTGCCTAAAGGTTTTAGTTTTGCCACAAGCTTAGGAAACTCCCTACAACTTTCCTCCATTGCCCAAGCAAAAAGTATACATTACCACTCAAAATTTGAAGAAAACAAGAAAAAGGCAATGGGTACATTGCTCCACAAAATTAACCTTTTCATGGGTTTCTTTGTTTGTGCAAGACTAGAACAAAGGGAATCCCTCTTTATGGAGCACATGCACCATTGTAGAGCCCATTGGGGGTGGGGGGAAGAGAGGTAGAGGTCCAAGGAGTAAGAGAGAGAGAGAGAGAGAGAGGAGAGAGAGGTAGAGGTCCAAGGAATATGACAAGGAATTTCCAAAATCATTATTTTTTTTGCATTTTTCTGTCCACATTTACAAGCTCATGTATACAGCATAGTAGAAAGAGCATGGGCACCCTTCCTTCTTCCATCTCATTGACACCTCAGCACTGACAGGTCAGCATCTCCACGTGTATGTGTGGTCCCTCGTGGCAGCCCCCACCCGCCTAATCATTTGCTTCCATTTGGGCTAAAATATACAAAGTCACCAGAAAGAGTGACTGTTCTCTAAGAAAATAGAAGTAAAAATAGGAACAGCCTCTAGGCCTAAGTGGTAACGGTGGTGAGGATGCCTAGTGTTTCATTCCTACCTAGTCCCAAGTTAACATTAAAAAGAATAGAGAAGCAAAAAATATGCAGTAGGTAAATAAAGAAACAGGTCAAGACATAACATTAACAAAGACAGAAGCAAATGAAATCCATGGTTAAATGCTAAGCTTAGCATGGGCATTCTGAATCGATGACCATAGGTAATGGTTTAGGAAAGGCGTGGGCCATATTTACTGTGCTTGAGCAGGAGCAGTTGTTTTCTGCAAAAGAAGATTGATCAGGTGCTCACAATCAGGACCTGCCACAAATATCAGTATCAAACCTCTCTCTCTCTCTCAAAAGAATGGAGGTATTTTTGTGTGTAGTGTGTTTTACTTGTTTGATGGTTCTTTTTTTTTTTTCGGGAGGGGGGGAGCGTGGGGAGGGGGGGGGGCAAGAAGTGCGGGATCAGTTCGTGCGAAGGTTCTCTCTCAACTCAAGAATGAAAGTATTTTGTGCTCGACAAAGCGTGAGAGAGACATCAGATTATGTGAAGAGGGAAGCAATAATACGAATAGAAAAAGGGATTATAGTATGAGAAAAAAAGAGATTATCATGCAGCATGTGCTGATCTTACAAAGCAAACAATCTATAATAGCAACAACAAAAATGAGTATAGTAGAGCGGCATGTACATGATATCAGGGGATCCCACTGATACTGATATTATATATGTGTGTCTATTGTTATCATGTAATCCTAACCACCCATATTGTATGTGTGTGTGTACACAAATACAGAGAGAGAAATGAGAGAGGCGAAGCCACATAGATTCTAGCAACCTGAAACCCACCTAAGAAATCATCAAGGCTGGAAGGAATAGGTATCGAAAGCGAAAGTCAAAAGGTACAAGCCCACAACTTCGAGCACCCACAATGCGTTTGCTCCTTTGCAATGAACATTCTCTCAAAGCAGCAGCCTGTTGAGGTTCAAGGAATTGGGCAATCCACCCATGAAGAGCCACTTCATCAACATGGGTCCTTGCAAAACAATGAAGCATTTTAGGGAGAATCAGCTTCCCCTTGCTCGTTACTCCAATAGAAGCACGAACATAGTCCCTGAGTGAATATTGAAGCTCTTCTTTTACATTCTCAGCTGTGAAAATTCGCACCTGCACATATTTGCGATTGTTCAGGTTTTCACATTGCCTTGTCTTGGGGAACTGACCATAAGAAAGATGGGGAAGCTCCAAGAGTGCTCTACTGGTTTTGAATGGCGGCATTAGAATACCATGAGTTTTCAATCCTTTAGGATACTTTAAACAGATGTGGAAAAATAAGGAAATGTCTAAATTCAAAAGTACGATAAGAGTTATCTGTGTTTGGGTGTGTGTGCATGCATGTGTCGGTGTGTGTGTACAGGCAGAAGAGAGCACGGAGGGGACCAGGGGGAGCCTCTCTGTCCTGCAAAGCAAGACAGAAGGGGAGCAGGGTTGAGAACTTCAATATTATTTTACACATCCTAGTAAATTTATCATGATTTGATCTAAAAGCAGTAACAATGTGGCTTCATGCAATTAATCCAAAAAAAGTAAAGATGAAATAAAAAGGAAGTGAAGAGCGAGTATGAAATGGGGAGGAGGTAACATAATTGGAGAAAGTTTCAGAATTTGTTCCAACCAAAGTGAACAATGGTGGAGTCATGAGAAGGAAGACAACAAAAAAGAGAAGATAAAGCCTTTCAAATCTTTTTTATCTTCACTACCAATATAAGAGCTACTAAAAAACAAAAAAGGTGGATTCACTTACAGCAGGAGAAGAATACATCCCACAACTAAGAGCAAATGCCACTTGAGGATCTGGATTATCAACACAATACACTTTCTGTTCCTCTGAAATCTTGAATTTATGAAGGGCCAGAAGCAAAGCCTGAGAATAACAGCACCCAATGAATCAATCAAACAAGAATTCTTAGTACTAATATAAAAGAAGGGCAAGAACACAAATAAAAATATAAAATAAACGACATGATTCACTTGAATTTAGAATGATTTTTGTTTGGGGGGGACGGGGAGAGGATGAAGAGATCATCATACCAACTGGACCCAGTCCGTTACAGATGAAAATTTAAGTCAAGAAAGAAAGCCAAGAACCTAAAAGAAAATTACTTAAAAGATCAACACTGAATGAGCTCAGGAAATAAAAGAAGCAAAGATAAAGGAACATACTAATTGTGGCCTGTGAACTGGAGGCTTCATATTCAGTATAACATATTCAATGAAAGCAGCACTGAAGGAATGTCCTCCGACAGTATATGCAGCCTGAAAATTTTGGTATCGACAATGCTCGTTATCTTACAATAAACTATTGCTGACTTCATACTGATGACAAAAACATGCACATGTTTCAAATTTTAGTCAAAAATAATGCCTGATATCTTTCTTTTCCAACAAGCAACCTGACATGTGCAACTTTATCAACACGAATCCCACTCACCTTATTTCCTTCATAAACTCATCACTTGGGATTTGGCTTTCTTTAATTTCGCAATAGTGTTCTGCTTTTGTTTTTTCTTTTTCTTTTACATTTTGTTCTGCTTTAAACTTCTCAAACATTCAATTTTCCAGTTTGAGTTTTACCATTGATATTAAATGCTTTTCACATTTTTTTCCACAGTGCATCAGCCCTCACCTCAACTGAACTATACTATCCCCTGATTTCTCAATTCTATGGTCAAAATATAAAGCTTTTTGTAATAGTTCATAAATAGCATCAGCATGCAAAGTTCAGAAAGGGGAGCCAAACCTTTTGCATGAGCGAAAAAAGCTTTATTTCATTTCGTGGAACTCCATATGCCAAATAAGCCTGTAAAATCAGGATACAAGACTTAGCATGTGAGTTGAAGGCAGTCATATTCAGTCTTTCCATAATCCATATTTTTAGTGTTGGATGACGATTAGAGCTTCCTCTAGAGCCACATTAACTAATACAATATATGGACAGAAAGACTCACATGCATAATGAGAGCATTATATAAATTGATCCAAAACGCCAGCTTCTCATCACAAGATAAATGTGTAGGGTTCACTTTTCCCAGCTGCTCAACCAACACTCTAATTGACATAAGCAAATTAATCATTTGAGGAAATAGAAGAAGCAAAAGAAAGTTTCCAACATGACTGAAACAGCGAAAAAGTATTGAGCTCATCACCAAACACAAAACAGTGTAAACAAAAGCAAACAAATAAACTAATTTATCATGAAGATTTTTAAAAGCAAAATAGGTAAACTAATCTAAATAAAGAAGAGTGCTTCAAAGATTACAGAAGAAATTTAAATAGAATGATCTAAGCAGGGATGTCATAATGGAAAGAATAAATTAGAAACCAAACTGTAGCAGAAATGAGAACTAGAAAAGGGAATTTGTTTTCACCTAAAATTTCTCAGAGCCTCAGCAGCATGTTCAAGCTGTTTCTTCCCAACCGACATCCAAGAAACCTCAATTGCTGAACTGTATCTTCCAATATTTCTCCAACTTAACTTTCCACGAACTCTATAAGGATCAAAAAAAATTTCAGTTGCCAAAACCTCACTACCATACTGTAACTCCAGCATAGGACTTTGAACGGGTGGCGTTCCCATCAACAATCCTGAGGGAGATGACGAAGGGAAGATATGTTCCTTAGGAGATATAAGGGAATCACTCCTATTCGAACAGCAGGATTTGGAAGAAAGAGAGGAAGAATCTGCTAGAGAGATGAATATGTTTCTCATGCATCTAACCATCTCCTCTGAAAGTTTATTGGGGTGATGCCAAAGGTCTTCCAAGGACATTTTCTCTGCGATTATATAGATTTCTTGACGATCTGGCTCTGCAGCTGCAGTGTTGTTCTCTACCATGGGCATATTAAGTCTACCCAATTTCTGATGAAAATGCCGTGTCAGAATGTGTATTCAAATTTTCATCACTTTTACCATTATTTTATATGTGAATGAATTCTTAAATTGTATGGTCTCATCTTAGAAGAAGGAGAAAGTTATGCTCTAAATGCCAGACCAAGAGGCTGCAACCCAGTAGTCCTTGTATTTGTATCTTTGACAAGATGGACTTTTTAACAAGCAATCAGATTATTTGATCTTAAAAAAAAATCATGACTGCATTTCAACATCGGGGAAAGAACCTATTTTAGTTGCAACACAATCGAAACTTGTATTATAGAAACCATGTCAGAAAATGCGAGAGAGCATTTTACTACTCAAAATCTTTTTCTGAAAAAGGCTCGGTATGAAACACATCGTATCCAACTATAGAGGCCACAATGTGGTACCAGGGCTCAGAATGACTCCAGGAAATCTTAGGAACACAGTGATATTTATTCCATTTGATGACATATAAGAAAGTTTCAGGAAAAACGTTAGAGAAAGGAAATGGTAGCAAACTAATTAGTACCACTTCTTCTGGACTTGAGCTAGATGCTTCGCTGCTAGTATTGGATTGTGAACCACCTACTTCATCGCATAGGACTGCTTCAGCTGGAAGATGTCTTTGAGGGACGGAATGCTTTAAACCTCCAAACCTGGATTTCTTCTAAATGATACAAAAACCCAATCCTTTATTGTGTTTTTCAAAAAGAAGAAAAATACAATTGCAATAAATCAAAATCATAGAGTTAGACAACTTTTACAGAAGACCATAATCCATCTATTTCCACCCAGTAAAATTTAATCTTAACATAAACATAAAAGAATGCTTTTAAAATATTTCATGATCAGACAAGCATGTGTATACATGTAAATCATATACATGGATAGCTTAAACCTGTACACCATTTTCAAATTCAGATGTTGCCTATCCATGTTCATGGTTTTCAAAACACATTCCATGGCTTATTTTTGCCTTTAAATAATAGAGGCAATTGTTAAATCAAGCAACAAGTTCAATGAAAATACTTAAATTTGTGAACAAGTAGAATGTGATGTTCACAACTGAAATGTGATGTTCGCAACTGAAAGTAATAATTATAATCAGATTACATACTTTAAAATGTAAAAAGTATAATGGAAAATGCTAAGAAAGGAACGATGAAATACCATGCTATCCAATTTATTGAGGGAACACAGCAATTGCGACTGTGAAGGTGACTGTTTCAAACGATACTCCATAAGGCGCCTCTCATTCCTTTCCTGACTAAGCTGAAAATTCAATGAAAGCATCTCTTTTTCAAGCTTTAAAACTGTAGCCTCCAAAGTGGCAATTTCAGACAAGAGATCTTGTGCCTGTGTAAGATATTAGACAAAGAAAATTAATAGGACACAACACAGCAAGAAAAATAGAAAATAAGGTAATAGCAAACACAACACAGCAAGAAAAATAGCAAATACGGTAATAGCACATATAGAACTACCCTGAAGCAAACATTTGGGTATTAGCTTGGATATTTTTATTTTATTATTTGAAAATCATTAACTAAATTTCTACTAAAAAAGAAAGTGAGCTGCTCACCCTATTGCTCCAAATTTCATTAAAGATAAGAGGCAATTTCAAAAGGCTACCTCCATCCATTGGAAATCAAACATTATCATATTGTGTCATTTTCTTTATTATTTTTCTTAGTTATGATGTTTCTACATTTGGTACCATGAGGATTTTAATGTCCGATATCTGTTTAGAGTATAAATATTATGCCTTCAAATGCCAGCAATGTTACGTTGGGTAAAACTGTCAGCATAAGAAAATTAAGGGAGTGCTTGTTCAAAAAGAAAAAAAAAGGAACAGAAAGTTAAGGATAGTGTAGAATTTTTAGAAATGGAAATTCACCATTTCTACATGAATTTGACAAAAACTCAGGCATTTTCAATTTGGCTTTTAAGTTCTATAAAAGAGAAAATCCATACATCAGATGGAAGGCAGGACAAACTTGACAAGACTAGAGAATCACGCCCAACTGCACTTTCAAGGGCACCATGCAGTTCCATTTCCTCCTGGAGCTGCTTTTGCAGTCTTTGAACCTGCAAGGAAACAAATGATTAAAACAAGTGATATTTGTAAATCGCGTGAGCAATCCATACTGGACAAATATGTCAATATATAAATATAGTTTCTAGGCAAAATAAAATCAGAAAAAGAAAATGAAGAACTCAATCAATTAGCAATAATGCGGATATGATTATTCATGTATATGCTTCAACACGACAGAAAGGGCGGATCAAATACCAATTTGCATGTAGAACTTCCTTTACATTTTGTGCTCACAATTTGCATTGTATCTTGCATTGGGATGGATTTGAGCATGTAGAATTTCCTTTACATTTTGTGCTCACAATTTCCATTGTATCTTTGCATTGGGATGGATTTGAGCATGTAGAATTTCCTTTACATTTTGTGCTCACAATTTCCATTGTATCTTTGCATTATATCATAATCACTGTGTTAGGGTTTATCCAGAGGAAAGAAAACAGATCCAACATATGAAACACCAAATTACAATATTTTTATTCCGTAGTCTTCTCTTAGACTGCACTCACATTTGGTTTGTTCTGTGAAGGCTTGAAAAAGAGAAATGTAAGCATCCTAATGGAAGGGAAGTTCTAGGCCTTTTTTAATGCATATATATGTCATTGAGAAAAGCTCTCAAAGTTTTGAGAAAAACTTTTCCATTTAAAATAATACCTTCTAATACATAAGCAAAAGATGATCATGTTAATACAAATACGTTCAATTGACTCTTATACTTCAGTCGATGAACACACTTACATCCTGTTCAAGCTGCAACCTGTAGAGACAGGTGTCATTGCTCCCCTCATGTGTCCCAACTTCTCCATTAGAACCAAACCCCTGAAATGTTTGTGAAGTTGAAGTCATAACAGCATGGAAGTTCAAACAAAAACAGCAATCTAGCATAGCCGTCTAGTGAATGTGGCACATCACAAGCATTCACACTACGCATCAGAAATTTAAAACTCACCTCGAACTCGGATGAGCGATCATTCTCAGAGTAACCTTCAATAAACGACCTGCTTTCAGCAAGATGGCTGCTTTTGACATCCTGGGAACAACTATGAAGAGGGCTACTGTTGAACAGGACAAAAACATGTAAGTCAATGGCAACCACAAGAAAGAAGAAGGGGATATTTGAAAGAGGGAAACCAAAGAAAGGAACTATAGAGAATAAATTACTCACAATATCAAGTCAAACCCAACACCAGAAGAATTGTGTATCCCATAGTCATGGGATTCAGCACTTAGGCAAAGCATTTACAGAGATTTGAAGGCTTCTCTACAATATGTGAGACAAAAAGTAAGACTTGAATGAAATATGAAGACTAAAAAGAAAAAGAAAAAGAAATAAACAATATGCAGATCAATCGAATCCTTCCATATATAACTGTTGAAAAGCTTCAGATGCCTCCACCATGAAATCCATGTGAATAAGAACTTAAATGAAATAATTAGGACCAGTTTAAAATTGCAATCAAGAAAGGTGCTCTTATCTTCATTTAAAGTATAAATAAGTTGCTATCAAAACTTGTGGTTCAAATACATTTTATAGAGAAAATAAAAGAAGGCCAGAGACCAGAGCACTGAACTTCGTGGTGTCGCCATTTTCCTGCTACCTAAAACTTAACAACCATTACTTGAGTTTGCACTGAAAAATTGCAATTCTAAATCTAAGAAATTTTGGCACAATTCTCTAAATTCATTTTTTAGTATAGGAAACTTCTGTTGAAAATTCTTGAATCCAAAAATTGCTCAATCAGACAATGGACAATGAATTCTTCGGCTTATTCGTTGTCTACGAAAAAAATGCCATACTAATCATGAAGAAAGAGGCTAAAAGGCCAAAATGGAATAAGGTTCAAAGCCCTGATAAAACATCTTCAATACATGGGAAACCAAAGAATTTACTGTGTTCATAGTACAAAAACAATTTTTTTTAATGTGACTGTGAAAACCTACCGAGAAGAAAGTAAAGCAGAAAGACATCAATCCTGTCTATTCTTCAACTCAAAAATTCTTGAGAAAAAAGTAAATCAAAAATTCAAAGACGCAGAAACTTCCAATTGTAATTTAAGTAACTCTGGATTCTTCGCCTTCGTGGAGGTAAAGACGGGATACAACCTAAATATGCAACTATATTGGGCCATTACTGAATGACAGAATATTCGAAAATAAAAACTACAAGTATACGAGTATGTAATTCAAATACAATAGGGAAATGAGGAACCTCATCTTTAACACGTACTTAAAAGATGACGAGAGAGAGAGAGAGAGAGGGCCTTCATTTCTTCTATAGACGTGCACACAAATAAGAAATCGAAGAGAGAGAGAAGGACCCGCATTTCTCCTATTGCAGTGCAGAAAACAAGAAGCCAAAGAGAGAGAGAGAGAGAGAGAGTGGACTTACCCAAAAAAGAAGTGAGAGTAAATAAACATATAAGAGAGAGACAGTAAACACAAGAAATAGAGTAAATAAACACAGAAGAGAAGAAAAGAGAGAGAACGAGTAAACATAGAAAAGAGAGAGCTAGAGAGAGAGAGATAATAAACACAGGAAAGAGAGTAAATAAACACAGAAGAGAAGAGAAGAGAAGTGAAAGAGTAAACACGGAGAAGGGAGAACTCCAGCTTTCATCGGCTTTCATCTTATAAAAGAGACAATACACATGAAAGCTGAGACAATAAACATGAAAGCAGAGACAATACACACGAAAGCCGAGACAATACACATGAAAGTAGAGACAATACACATGAAAGCTGAGACAGAGAAAGAGGGAACTCCATTATCCAACTCCATTGCTCTACTAAGCTCTAACACCACTCCTCCGTAGCGAAAATAACAAACAACACTACAAAACCCTAACTCAGAATATACATACCTTAGACATGCACCTAAGCCCTACAACTTCAACTCCTCAACCAAACACTAAAAAAGTTCAAAGCCATTAAAAGCGCGAGCCGGTAACAGGAATTCAAATCCCATTCCCAATTCAAATCGCCACATTCTGATAACGAATCCGAGTTCATTAAACCGACAATATTTCCAAATAGGATAAAACAATGAAAGTACTTTTAATTATCACTCTACACATGTCCTTTCTCTGCAACTTTTTCCCACGAAAGATGCCCTAAAATCTAACCCCAATGAAACAATTCAGACATTCTCTGCAAAAATTAGGGCATAGTTTTGTCAGTTAAGGTGAAGACAAGGAAATGGAGACTGAGTTTTTGAAAAGGAGAATACGTCCATTTTTCTCCGTGTCTTGTTACAACAGTGAGTTCATGGACTTTCCACAGATTTCAACGGCTGCGATTGAGTCGATGGGAGGAGTGAGGTTTGATCTGACCCCTTGGTGATTTTAAACTCGTCTGTGTCAGTTGGTTTCAGTGTCCGTGAACGTATAGTGCCTAGAGATTGGCGGTCTTTTGTCAAATGACCTAATGGCCCTTGGGCTTGTCAAAATGAACGGAATATGTAGATTTATTGCTGAAATGGCCCTGTCTGAGGATATGACAAGCCCACCACGACTGCAATAAGTAAATATTAATTCCTATATATCACCCCTTTGGATCATGATTCATGGCAACCACGATCTATACCTAATTAGGATTTATTTTTAATGGAAAAAGTTAAAATAAGGTAGGCTATATACAAAAAAAGTAAAGTTCCATCTCAAAACTTATTTAAAATTATAGTTTTATTGTTGAAAACCTTCAAATCGATCATCTCGATCTTGATCATTATGTTCGTAAAAAAAAATAGGATTTCAAACCCTAATAATAGTGTATATTATAATACACTATCTAAACCATCCATTCTTACATGTTTGTGTATCTAAATGATCTTTACTATTTTTTGAATTACAAATTTTGATATTCAGTATTAGAAGTAAATTTTAGAGCCACTAGGTATTTCCCATGGCCAAAGTGCTTTTCGAACAAGATTTTGAGGTTTTCCTTAATCATAGCAAACTGCATTAATTTTTTATTAGTAAAGTATTTGCGAGTTAGTCGTCTTATGCATCTACTCTAATTTTCTCAAGGGATTTAAGACTTGAAACCAGTGTAAGAAAAATCGAACCGGAATGGTTAACAGGAAATGGGGTTGGAACCAGTTCAACTGACCTAACTGAGTAAGCCCTATGTAGTGAAAAAAGTGTGTAAAAATAAAAAATAGACCAAAAAAATCGAATAAACTATGAAATGTATATTTAAAGCATGATTAAACAAAGCACATCCAAATGAAGTTGAAAATTAATGAAACAAATGAAGTTGAAAATTAATGAAAAAAAAAATAGATTTTAAAAAATCGATTTGTGCCAAAGGTATTTTTGAAAAAAAAATTAAAACGATGGGAAAATGTAAAAATAAGTATTAATGGCCAAATAAATTTTCTAATCTTTGCCAAAATAATACAAAACATTAAATATAATATATATATTACAAACGAAATCCCTTATTTTTTGGGATTTCATATAATTTTTTTGATTTTTTTAAAATAGCCAGCTTGTTCCGATCTAACTAGGTGGTATTCACATCTCAAATCACTACAACTCTATTTTGGTTTGTATAAGGTTGAGACCCTAAATAATCAACGTAAGGTGCACTTTCAAATAGTGCCTAAAGATATTGTTCAGCATCAAAAATCCTTGCGATGGCCTAAAAATTTATTTTCATCTCTAATTATAAAATTTAAATATTAAAAAATAGTGTAGATTGAGCAAATCTATAAACACTTGAAAATCTTGAAAATTGACGGTCTAGATAATATATTATAAAGATGCACTATTTTCAAGACTTTTAAATTTATTTTTTTCTCATGTCCATACATCTTGTGGTCGAGATGATAGAAATAAGGATTTTCAATATCGAAACAACCTCTTCTAATGAATTTTTTAAGTACATCTTAATTTGACTTATTAAGACATCACCCTTATATGAATTTTTTCCTTGAATAATTGTAATGACCAATCCAAACGAATACAAATTCGACTATTTATAAGCTCTATATTCAGTTTTTTTTTTTTCAATATTAAGATCATGGTGGTCGACATGATGCACCAGTAAAATTTTAGGTCCAAAATTTAAACCCAATATGGATCTTGGAAGATGGTCACACTATGGTAAGTGCATTCCTAGACATACCCAAACCCTACCTTTTTTTATTTGTTGATAGAATTCCTCTTTGGGGAGATGATTCAAACCTACGCTTCACACCATGGGATCCCCGACAAACCTACCAAATATATGCATTTTTTTTTTGGTTGGATAAGTGGGAATACAAGCCCCTACCTATTTTTAGAAATAATTAGCAGTTTTCGTGGGAATTGAAATCTAAATCGGTAGTGTCGTGGGAATTGAAATCTAAATCGGTAGCTGAAGCTAAAGTGATGCTACCACCATGACTTCAACCCCATTTCCAATATATACATACTTAAAAGCAAATAAAATATAGGTGAGGATTCTATGGGTGAACTAGCTCATGTACAACCATGCTTCCTCTCTTTGAAATCTATTTAAAGTATGGGATTGGGATCCAAATTTTACAGCTCTACATTCGACACTATGGTGATCATGAATATGAAAAAAAAAAAAATAGATTTGAACTTCTTTAAAAAAAATTAAGAATTTCTTGCACCTGTCTCTTTGAGTTTAATTGGGTATCCTTTTTCTATCATATATCTCAACTATGAAAGTTTTTTTTTTTTTGGTGAGTCACCGAGGAGAGTGCCCCTATCCTTTGTAAGAATTGAGTCTAAGATGTAGTAGTGTTGCAAATCGTCAAGCGCTAATATTAAAGGGACGAAATGTGTTTCTTGACTCATATATTGCCCTAACATAAAAGATATTTGACTGAGGTTTGTATAAGGTTCCCACCTTATACTATACGAGGCACCTCTAAATTTTGCCAAAAATTTAGTTACGATTTCAAGAACATTAAAATAGTTTGAAAATCTATAATCTAATTTAAGTATAGAATTTTAAATTCTAAAAACAGCGTAGGTCAAACAGATCTACAAATATGTCTAGGCACTCCCAAATAAAAAAAAGAAAAAGAAAAAGACATGTACAAAAAAAATTATGGGGTAAAATGTGCTTGTTGTTCTTTAGTAGCAAATCATCTATTCATATTTGATCGGCGGCATCTGGCCTAGGGGTGTTTGGTTTAGCAAATGTCTTCCTAAAGTAATATCTTTGAAAAAAAGTTTATATGAGGTTGCAACCGAAGTAAGTTGCACCTCGATAATCCAGTAGAAAAAAATGTTTTGAAGTTGGAAAATATTCTAATCGGTCATATCGATATTGAGATGTATAAATATAAAGAAAACAAAGAATTTTAAGTAAAAAAAATGGTAGATCTTGTAACAAATTATCTAGACTATTTATTTTCAAGTATTTATAGATCCAAAATCTGAGATCCATCGGATTTTTCACTTTTTAGAATAATAATTTTACAAACACCTAAATCCAAAAAAAAGTTATTTCCTCCTCCAATTTGGGTTGTCCGCTCATACTGTGTTATATGCCAGTCGACTCATGTGATTTTTTTATATTACTAGTATACCTTTGATTTTTTCTGCAACTGCTATGTAAATATGGATATGTATATGAGAAGACCATTTATTTTTGACACAAAAAGGTCACAATCATTATTTATAATTGGATGTGAAACTCGGTAGTTAGTGTTGTCACTTAATAGGTACAAAGTAAAAAATAGAACTTCTTGAAAGTTGTGATGCATTTCAATATGGAGGATTATGAAATGATTTTATGATAAAGCACGGTGTATATATTTTTTTTAAAAATTATTTACCCCTACACCATCAAGATCACTTAAAATGTCCAATTATAATTAAACAACTCTTGAAATAAATAAAATAAAAATAAAATCGGTTCTCAATTGCTTCATCTTCAAATACAATTCTTTATTCAATAAACAAAACTATACTTTTTTGCTTTATGGGAAGAGAAGTAAATATTTAAAAAGATAAAATTGCCTGAGATTACCTCAACCAGGCTTAGTACACCCCACGCTGAGTCTCCTCCTTCCGATGGTGCTCGGGATCTATAATCGATATGTTGATTTTCCTACTACGGCAAAAATCCACTCAATGGCTTAATCTTGATCAAGCCTCTTAGCATGATTTTACAGAGATTAGAGATGAATATGAAGAGAGATGGAGAGATCTACTAACAAAGAATTCCACCCCTTTGCCACCTACAAATAACAGATGTGGTAAACATGGTGTAACTTGGAAAGAGAGAGAAAAAAAAATTTGGGGCGTGCCTCCCATTCGGAAGAGAGCTAGATTTTGGGTAGAGAGCGAGAGAATTGTTAAAGAGAGAGAAGATAATGCGTATCTGATAGGGAGACCTCCTTTTATAGATTTTCTATGCCATAGATTTTGCCTCAATTCGTAGGGTCAAATCTCAATCGTCGATCTAAAGAGATTTGTGGGATAAGATATTTGAGTCATCTCTTTGATCTACCATCAAGATTCAAAGAGATGAGCTAGAGTCTTATCCTCCCTTTTCCTAAATATATTCCCATCAAATAAAGAACAAAGAAAGCTTATATTTTAATATATCAAATCCTTAATTATTGAATCAAGGTTGCCATTAAATAAAGAAAGCTTATATTTTAATATATCCAATCCTTAATTTTGGATCAACTAATTTTGATTCACACTTGGGAAGAATATGTGAATGGGTGCATGCCACCCTTTTGGTTGGCCACTTTTGGGCCCCACCCAATACACATGTATTTAAATTTTGGGCCCCATATTTTATGGAGGTCCCATATATTTTTAGAAAATATTTTATTTCACACTTAGAAATTTAAATCTTACATTTTATTCAAAACATTGAAAATTTATTTTCTCTTAATTTATAAATCCAAATGACAAAAATAAAATATCATAAGATTCATAAAAATTCAAATAAACATTCTAAAAATCACATAACATAAAATTAATTATTTTTTATGGGAATCGGATCCATTAGATCTAGGAAATTATCAATATATGGGAGCACTCCACCTTCAACTACGAATCACGATCCGCCGAGCTCTATCAAACTGACCCAGCAGTTCCCATGACCCACAATCTATTGTATGGGCTCATGATTGGACCACCAAAGTCAGCCAATAGACTAAGGAACACAATCCTAGTTTATAGATTTCAGGTTCTCCCCTAGAAACAAAAAAATCATGGTCTTCCAGACCATGATGCAACCATGACTTTATGGTGCATAGGGTAAATCTCTCGCACATATACACGCATACCGTGTGATAATATAACGATGAGGTTTTAGCCTGTCTCTAAAGGTTATTCATCACACGTCGTCACACAATC